AGCTGCCATCCCAGAGGAACTGCGTTGCACATCTTAGACCTCAAACCTTTGTTGCGTTTGAACTGGGCAAAGTAACCTTGGAACAGGCCGAAAGCAGCATCCTGTTCCAAACCACAGTTAACAGGGAAGCAGACATTCTGACTACCAGACTGAAAATGACAGGCAGTCCTCAGAATTAACACCACCATGCTGAGCTAAAGAATAACTTCACTCACTTGCACCTGTAGACATCTCTTCCTTCACTTATTAACCCCAACGGAAATTCCTTCCTCATAAAGACTCCTTGCCTTCACCCACTAATCGGAACACTATTTGGGTTTCTGCCTGAATCAGCCCTTCCCAAATAGCAATTCGTTTGGGTCTCCAATAAATGCTTGCTGCCTCTTGCTTTGGCCGTTTACGTTTAGGTTAACATTGGTAAATCACAGGAACCCACACGGGTCAGCTGGGAGGGGTGTTTGTTATGAGAGAACACAGGCTGCGGGGTCTCCTACAACCCACGGAGGGGAAGGCAGCTGGGCCTCAGGAAGGTGGGCAAAGTGATCTTTTCTTCAACTGATGTTTATTGATTTACCACTAGGGGTGCCGCTAGCTCTGGGCTGGCACAGCCCAGGAATTTGCATTTCTAACAAGTTCTGATAATTCTTTCCATGTGTTGTGGCCCAAAGTGGGGCCCACGCCCCTGGGCCTGTCATTTTCTTCAACTGCAGGTTTGGGGCATGGATTTTGAGATTTAATTGCCTCCATCAACCAAGGGGGCATGGAGCCTGGTGTGCAACCAGCATTCTGGACCCCATTGCACTTATCAGGGTTTGAGAATCAGGGTTTTAAAAAGTTTCAAAACGTCAGAAATGTCTTTGTTCCCAGCCTTGGGTGGGGGAAATCAAAGATGACCCGCCAACAGACTTTGCTCAACTTCCCAAATGGCTAGTGTGTTTTATTGGACTGTAACAAACCACCCTCCACTTTCACCAAAGACCATGAGGGTTCCCCCAGAATCAGTAAATCCAGCCTCCGGGCATCTTCATTTCTTCCTGCAGGAGGAGACCGGGTCCGACTCACTGTGCGGCTCACTCCTCAGGGTAGATAAATGCTGGGAGACAGTCCCAGCCCCGACTCTTGTGCCCCGGCTGCGACCCAACACCCCTCCCCGCGGCCGGCCCAAGCCTTGCGCATCCACCAATGAAATGCCGAGGAGCTCCATGACCTCATCGGTCGGCTCTCTCATTGGCTGCCGCCGCCTTTCATTAGTGCAGGAGAGAGCGGCGCGGGCCCCACCCCCGAGGCTGAAGGAGATTGAGTTGCTAACGGGGTCTGCAAGCCTTGCCGGCTGCTCTTCAAACAACCGATGCCTCAGGAGGGCATTCTGCTCTCTGACAAAGGCTTTCGTGTCCCTTCAACCAACCAAAGAACTGGTTTGCCGCGCTGACCTGAACGGATGTGTTGCTGGGGGTTAGCTGGTAGCATCATCTTCCCCGCGCCTTTCCCAAGTACCTAACAGATCATGCTTATTTCCCACTTATCCTAACCGTGCGTTTAAATGAGTTCTGTCTTGCTTCTCAGTGGATGAATTTCGCAAACCCGACCCGACCGTGGAATGCCAGAGATCATCTCCCCCACAATTAATGAACGTGAGCATTCACTGACACCCAGACTGGGGATATGACATTCACAGGATCACACGGCAGGCTGGTCACAGAGATGAAAATCAGACCTGGGCCTCCTAACTCCAGCTTCGGTGTGGCATTCCGCCCTCCACACCCGATCTGCTGCCTGAGAGCTAAGAGGGGTGCTGCAGTCCCCTTCTTGGGGGAACCCACATATCAATCAGGGAACCGGGCTTCCTCACATCCCAGCAGCTGCCCAAGCCTCACTCCGATAAGATGGAATCGTGGGCGGGAGCCCAGCAGCCGCCTAGAGCAGTGATCTCATTTTACAAATGAGAAAATTGCAGGGTGCCTGGTCATAAGCCAGTTGGTGATGGGTGGAGGCAGGGCTTGACCCTGGCCTCCTGCCCTTCTCATCCAGTGATGACCTCAAATGCCAAAGGAAGGAACGGAATGCCCACGACTCGCCGGGGAGAGGTTCTGCATGGTGATCCTCCCGCAAGCCGGCATCTGATTCTGTGTAAGAAAACAATCAGGAGTGTTTGTATGCTTCTCCGGCTGCCCAGCGGGTCAGATGATCTCTCCTTTGTTGTTATTTACACGTAGAAGAGGGCATTTTACCACAAGCCACTCTTGGCCTTTCTGGAGAAAAGTAGGACAGGGGATATATAAGATAACAGGAAAGGGTTCCCAGAACTCTGAGTGTGAAAAAACACTCCTGAAGATAAGGGATTCCTACTGCACAGGTTTAAACCAAAAACAACCTCCTAACAAGCATTTCAGCTCTGCATGTGTCCTGACCCAGGGAACAGGGTCTCTGGGTGTGGGATGCTGGGGGAATGGCTTCCACCACATAGGAGAGTGGGCGTGGAGGGTAACAATGGTCTCTGATGGGCTTCATGAGTGGGATAAGGGAGCACCCTGGAGCACCCACGTGTTTCTGGACTCGCAAAGCTGAAGGCCAGCCTGGGAACAGACTCCCCTCAAGGGGCCAGCCAGCCTCCTCCATCTGTTCATCCCTCTCGAATGGCAACAGATGGTAAATTAGAAACACCGGCGTCAGTGCCTGAACCGAAGTAGCCCCGCAAGGTCCCCGCTGGTTTGTCCCTACAGTGGGAACCTTGGCTCCAGGCAGCGGCAGGTGACACCTGGGAAGAAAGGAGACCTTGAAGGGGGAAGGGGCACCGTCATCTTAAATCATCCTCGGAGACCCTGCTCAAAACGTGGGCACGGAGGCAGCTCCTCTGGACAGCAGGCTCGTTTGTAAAGGCAGACCTGGCACTGGAGATAGGAGCCTGGAGGATGATAACTCAAGGGCGGTAGAGTCCGGAGGGAGTACTGCACACCAGAGAAAAGGAAGGAACCACGGGCAGCCACGTGTCACAGGACAAATCCCGGAACATAATGAGCAAAACAAGCAAGTCACGGAACAGGGTGTCAGCTTTAGAAAGTGGAACCCAAACAATAGCATGTGTACGGGTACATATCACACTCCTATTACAAAGGCTGGCAGAAAGTGAGTTTGGTGGGTGATAAAACTACTTTTTTTTAAAAGCGAGGGCTTCACAAAAACACAAAAATCAAGCTGGTGGTTAACTCTGGGATAGGCTGTCGGTTCCCTGGTGTTCATTTTATTACTCAGGCGCCTCTTGATGATATGTTTTCTCATGTGTCAAATATTTCATAATTAAAAACCATCCGAAGGCACTGCAGCTATCATGACTCAAGCCCCAAGCCTGCAAGCTGGGGCCTGGCTTCCGTGGTCCCCATGAGCAATGCTGCAGCGCCTGCCACGGGGCCAGCTGCTCCAGGCTCAGGCGACTGGGTTGCTGCTTGGCATGGTGAGGTCAAAGGGTCAAAAGTTAGAAGTGACTGTTGTGTTAGCACACTGAGACCCCTGTCCTTTCCTGCCTTGGGATTTCTGTCCCCCCTTAAACCTGACCCACATGCTTCAGCGAGCCGATTCCCACTTCTCTGTGGGCCTGCCCACCGGGATGCTCACGCCTGGAGTCCACCTGTCCAACCCAGCCCCACCAGCTTCCTTCCGCTTATTCACCCATTCCACAAATATTTCCTGAGCACCTACTACGTGCCGGGTGCCGTTCTCAGTGCTGGGATGCAGCCGTGAACAAAACCACACAAAAATCCCTGCCCTCACGGTGCTTACATTCTAGTGAGGGGAGACAGAAAAGAAATACTAAAGTAACCAATGTAAGTCAGGTGGCGAGAAGAAAACCATAGCAGAGTGAGAGGTGAGGGAGCGAAGGGTTTGTTTAGCTAGCTGGTCCGGGAGGGCCTCTCTGAGGAGGTGGCCTGGGGCAAGGACCTAATGGAAGGGAGGGAGGACCCGGTGGGTCTGTGGGGAAGAGCCTTCCAGGCTGAGGCAGGCACAAGGGCAAAGGCCCAGCCCTTCCTTTCACTCGTGTCTGCTTCCCCTGAGCTCCCCCCACCCCATCGGCCCGTTCTCTCTCCTCCCCCTTCCCCTGCTCACCTCTTCCTCTATTCTAGTTGTACAGGGAACCTAGGCTTTCAGGAAGAGAGGGACGGGAGATTTCCAGACCACAGAGGCACCCTATTTGTGCTGACCTTCGCTCTGAGGCTCTGCCTGGCTCTACTGTCCCAGATAAGCCGGCTTTTCTCAAGAAATTAGCCTGAAGTCATCTTGCCTGCCGGGCATTGCCAGGCTTCCAGGCTGGATTCGGCTACAGACTGTGATTTTTTCGATTCTTGTCAAACCTGTAATACCAATGCCTGGGAAAAAGAGGTTGGCTTAATTACTATCTTTAGCACCAATGACCTCCCACTCCCGAATTTCCCTCAGAGCCACCTGCAGGTAAGCTCACCTGGAAAACAATTTGGGGATCTTCTCTCTTCTCCCCGTGTAATCCTTTGCCTCTGCGGTGGTGGTGACAGCTGCCAGAGCAGCCTGGGCCATGGGCGAGGATCAAACCGCGCAGGTGTGGGAAGGAGCCCAGAGACCGAGAGGTCCCGCTCTCTGGCTCCACGCAGTGAAGGCTCCGAAAGTTCTTTCCCTCTGCTGGGTCAGGCTGACAATGTTTATCAGCCTTTGCTCTCAACCCTGTACCCCAGCAACCTCAGCGCTTAAGCAAAAGGTCCGAAGAGTCCTCTGGTGGGAAGAGTCCATGGTGGCCTGCCGTGAAGGTGGAAGCCTCGCAGGCAGTCGCTGTTGTATATTTATTATTGTGCTAAACCCTAAAGGAAACCATTTGAAGGCTGATTCTAGACCTTGGAGATCTCCAGCTTCATTCATTCATTCATTCATTCATTCATTCATTTGTCACTCTCTTACTCAAGCTCCTACACTGTGGCAGGCCCTACACTGGGTGGAAAGGGTACAGACACACGGAATGACAGCTCACATTTGTTGCACTCTTAAGGCAAACCAACACCGTTTTATTGCTTTACCTGTATATTCTCATTTAATTCTCAACCAGCTCTGTGGGGTAGGCATTACAGCTGAGGAGCTGTAGGTTTGGAAGGCATGGGGAGGTTAAATACCACTGCCCAGGCCGCACAAGCTGAGTCAGGGTTCAAGCTCCACTTTGCCCCTGTGCAATCACAGGCCTTGTCCTAGAACTTACCAACTAGCTGGGCAGAGAGATAGACGCCAATACTGTACACGACAGTGCGGCAACTGAGGCCGTGTAAACATTACCTGTTATTACGGCAAAGTTTGCTACGAGAAAGTCCTACCCCGGAGGAGATACCACTGCTGTGGGACCACCCGGGGTCTGTCGGATGTTGAGCAAGGCTTCGTGGGGACCTTTGGGCTGGGTCTCAAAGAATGAACAGGTACTTCCCTCCTGGCCCAGAGGGGAGAGAACATTCCAGGCAAACATCTGGAGGGACAGACGGCTGTGCTAGAGATGACAAGATAGGGGCCTGGGGGAGGGGAAATGCCTCCGGTGGAGATTCCTTCTCCTCCCCTCCCTATTCCCCCCTTGGTGGAACCAAAGGGACCAGGGCACCAAAGCGCCCCCTGTTGAAACTTTCACCTTCTGCTCCCCCTTTCTGGGCCATCCGCAGCGTCTGAGGTCCATCAGGTCCACCTTCATCACCTTGTTGGCCTTGGGGGGTGGGGGGTGCCTGAAGGTTATGCTGGTCACAGCAGAAGGCAGCTCCTGATGTTCCCACATCACATCTCTCAGTGTCTGCATTTCCGCTTCCTCATTGGTAAACGGGGGTCCAGGCTGCTGTGGGGAGGAGAGGCGACCCTGCATGCGACAGCCAGAGCTCCAGGAAGGCGGGGGAAGGCCCAGGAAGGGATGCTGCTGCTGATGGCTGGTGCTTCCTCATACCTGGAGTTCCATCCTCACGGGATCTCCGCTCCACCGAGGCAGGCGTTTTGTCCGTCTGGTTCTTCACTGTATCCCCAGCACCTACAACAGTGCCTGGCACACAGCAGGTGATCACAACACAGCTACTGAATAGCGGAAAGAAGGCGCCGCGGGGGCACCTGCCCCCAGCCCTGGGTCTCCAGGGCCAAGGCGAGGAAACCCCACTGGTGACCGCATTCTCCCCAGAGCGCAAGGCAGCTGGCGCCTTTGCCCGGCTCAGTTCAGCTCCCCAGACATTCACGGGGCCCCTCCCTGGGCAGGTGCTGTGCCAGCCCACCTGCGGGCTGGGTGGCGGCCAAGGTGCCCGGGCAGAGGGCGCCTCCTTGGGGGCTCC